GACACCACGTGTTCGCCTTGAGACTTGCGGAAAGCGCACTTTCGCATTTGCTGGTCCAACAATTTGGAACGCCCTTCCACTCGATCTCAGAAACATCCAGACACTGGAGTCCTTTAAAACCGATTTAAAGACGCATTTATTTCGCAAACACTTTCTGGGATGATTGTCTACCATATTTTCCATTTAATGCATATTGGCTGTGTAGCTCACAGTTGAAATGGGTTGAAAGACTTTGACATTGTATGCTTGTAATTAGTTTTTGCAGTGTTGCGTTTGTTTTAAATGTGGTAAATTATAGATTTGTTTTTTGTTGACTTTGTACAGCGCTTCGAGCCTTTGGGGATGAAGCGTGTTTTTGAAATGAACTTTATTATTATTATTATTTTAAAAAAATTAATAAGCCTACATAACCTGTGTGTTGTCATTATTCTATTTGATGGCATACGCTTCAACAATTACTACTGATAACAAGGTATAATAACTTTAAAATGGTATAAAAAATTTGGTAAACACCCGGGAACTCAACCTCACTTTGGCTGGATACAAACACCACCCCTTTTCATAATGTCGAAATTGCTAATCAGCTCCAGTTCACACATTCTATTTATTTTTTTCATGGCTGCTATTATTTTATGGCGAAAAAGATGGTGGCCATGTTTAAAAAAAAAAACATGGGGCAAAGGGTGGAGTGGGATAGCGCAATTTTACCCTCAAATATATTTAAACTAGAAAGGTGATTCTGGTTTCATAGTTTTATTTGAAGTTTGCTTTAAGGGGTTCATCCAATATTTTTTAAAACAGAATAGCTTGCCCATGGATGCTGCCAACATTTTTCAATTTGGGTTGGTTCCAAAATCATAATTTTTTGTTTCTAAACTCGATTCCACTAAGTTAACTCATTCCCTCCTGCAATGCTACTTCCGTACTTAATTTATTTGCCAGAGAAAGGGAAGTAACTTCGTTTTGCAATTGATTAACATTTGTAAAATATTTATTTAAGCTGCTAAATATCATTTAATGTTAATGAATTAAGAACAAATGCAACAAAAAATGAATAAGGTTCAATAAAAATATAACATTAGCCGGAAAAAAATAACGAACAATGACCAAAAAATCGATTTTTGGCACCTTAGACGAACATATGCTACATATAGACGGGCCGTACTAAAGCACACGTTGTTTTAAAGTGAAACAAGATAAAAACATCCGGTTTTTAAATTGAAATCACGCTGAACCACGCCATCGCCGGAAGTCTTTCTTTGCTATTTTTAATTAGAAATGAGAGAGTTGTGTCGCTATACAACAGGACGCATATGGACACAGCCGTCAAAACCCCCAAAGGACGCATTTAGTCGCAAAGTGGGGAATGAGATAAGCAGGGCGAATTAAAACACCCAATAATTTAATTTTTTTTAAAAGTAAGCCTATTTTTTTAATCTGAATAATTTCTTCCTTTCCTTTCAATTGTCACCAATCCATGTTTACTTAGCCTGGCCATGACAACTACAAATGACATAAAAGCAGAACAAATCGATTTACTCATTTATATCCAAAAATAAATATTTTTTTTCCTAAGTGCACTATGTGGACGCACACCTTACAGCTGTAGGCCTACTATTTTCATCATTTTTGGAAACTTAAAAATAAATTAACAAACTTATTATAGTATGGGTAAAGTTGCGCTATTCAACTCCCCCTATTTATCACGTTTGTGCCTTATTGAGACTATTTATTTGACATGGTCACCATCTTTGTTGCCATGACATTAGACAAAGATGACAGCCATGTCAAAAAAATTAATTTTTAAAAACATCTACTAAAATAGGGAAGACAAGGGAGTGTATGTGTTGTTTTAGTTACCGTAAATACCAAGGCGGACCAAAGCAAACTCTTATATTCAATGAAACTTTGAGATAGTACTAAGGTATAGCCAGTATGCAAGTGGCTGAGAGTGTTTGCCGTATACAAAGTTTTGCACACTGCAAATATGATCATTTATAACAGTGGTTCTCAACTTTTCTACTGCCACAAAACTTTAATAAAGTTCCTCATGTTGTGGTGAACCCCAGCCATAAAATTATTTTTGTAACTACTACATAAGTAGGTGTTTTCTGATGGCCTGAGCGACCCCTGAGTAAGTTTGTTCGACCCCCAAAAGGTTCCTTTTAAAAATTAAGATATTTTTGTTTAAATGCCTTCCAAATTCACTCTATAACATAATTTATCCAAATATTTTAGGTAAATAGTAATAATAATTAAATATTTCTCAGGTATCACATTTTCAGGCCATTAAAAAGTGGCTGTGGTCACATCCAAACAAAGTAGGGAAGAGCGACCTACATGGTACACTGCTCATAAGTATAAAGATGACAGCATCTCTTGTAATAACATAGCGCTTTGAAAACTGGCACAATGGTAAATAGTAAATCAATCCCCGAGATGCATTAGTATGAAAGTGGATTTTTCTCAAAGTTGACCGATTGTCAATGAAAAAGAAATCTATTAAAATGTAGGCCAAGATGTCCTCTAAATCTAAAGCAAAAGGTCAGAAAAAGAACACAATTGTCAATTGTGGGATACAATATACCTAGTAATTATTATATGAAATTAAAAACTCGGATTTTCATGCACTGATGCCCCATTTGCCATACAAATATTTTAGTAGTCTCCATTGCTTTAACAAAGTACCGGTACCCAATGAAGCCTAAAACATTACATATAACATAGTCTGTCAGAATATGTCATCCATCACTACAGAACTGAGAAAGTTAAACACTAAACATCATTGACAATTTAAGTTATTTAAAAATTGTGTGAAAACATATATGGGCTAATGTGAAGAGATAGCACCCTGATTCTGATAGGGTCAAAATCCAGGTTAGGGATAAGTTTAGGGTTCAGGTTAGGTTTAGGTAGGTACTTGAATACAAATATAAAAAAAATTGAAATAATGTTTTTAATAATAGTTAGTTAAAGAAAATTTCAAATAAAAAAATGAAACCAGAATCAACTTTTTAGCTTAAGTACTTTTTAAGCTACGAATTTTTAAAGTGTGAGTTCGTTTGGTATTTTTTACTATGGACAAAACCTCCACATCTTGTGACCTCATTCCGCTGATCCCGTCATGCGCTATGACTATATACTTTATATAAGGCAACGCATCCCCTATCACTAAAATACTGTTTAGGGTCGACTTAGTTTAAACTTTCAACTTTGGTACATGAATAATTAATTAAAGCTTTCCCTGATCAATGGTTTAATAGTTTTTGCACACGGGAAACTCTTATGAATGAAACTCTGAGGTAGTACTACGATACAGCCATTATGCAAGTGGCTGTGAATGGCTGCCAATGACAACGTGTTGCACACCAGAAATTCTGATCATTTATAATATGGACTCTATCGGGTTTTTAAAGCTCAAATTAAAACATTCCTGTTTAAATGTCTTCAAAATGCATTCTGAAACACAAGTTATCAAATATTTTGATTTAAATGGTAATAATTTAATATTTCCAAAGTATCGACAACTTCCGCCATTAAAAAGGGGGCATGGCCCACGCCATGTTGAAATTAGGCTGAGTGAACTGCATGACCAGCTGCGAACCCATAGAAACATGGCGTCCCTCATAAAATACATATCGCTGTGAAAATTGGCATAATACATGTAGATCAATACATGCCCCAGATGCATAAAAAATTTGGTAGTGACATGTCTTTTACTTCAACTTAATTTTAATGGTTGAAGTTGCCTTACATTCACCAAGATTTTTCTCAAAGCTGACTGATTGTAAATGAAAAAGAAATTGATTAAAATGTAGGCCAAGATGTCCTCTAAAGCGAAAGGCCGGAAGAGGAACACAATTCTGGGATATAGTAATTATTTTATGAATGAAATAGTGCCATTATCAAAAAATAAAAACTCAGATTTTCCCCATACAAATTTTTTAGTAGTCTCCCTTGCTTCATCCAAGTCCCTAGTTTAGGAATAGATTTTTAGTTAGGGCTAGGGTTCAGGTTAGGCTTAGGGATACCTTTAGGATAGAAGTTCACGGGTCGCGGCAAACAAGGTAAAAAAAACATGGTACTATCTCTTCACATTTACCCATATATGATTTTTACTCCCACTCCCCACTTTCTTTAAAGCCCCCTCCAGAAAGCTACGTAGTTTACTGACGGCCCTTTACTGACTCGAGATTGGGTAGCATTATTTCATTATAATATTTATATCATTATAAAACTATGAACATTTTATTTTAACAATCTTAAGGTTTTAACTTTGACAAAAGATCATAGTACTAAAATAGTAAATAAAAAATAATTTGTTTCAATATATTATCTTTTTAAAATAATAACGATAGAACAGTTTCCACTCGATATTTTGATAGCGCATTTCTTACGTTTCCCCTCTTGTTCATCGCCATCTTGAAGTTTGGGACAACAACGGTAATACCAGATATTTAATACCGCTTAATTCTATAAATATATTTTTCCATTGTATCCTTAATTTAAATTCAGTTTTTACCAAAATTTAAAAAAATGTTTTAAAGCTTAATTTTAAAACATTGAATTGTTAGTCAAATTATCTCAATAAATCGTATTAAAACTAAAATGTTCACTTAAATAATTTTTTTCTTATATAAGTATTACTAGGCAATTAAGATTTTTATTTCTAAATAACGTAAAAATAATTTTCTAATTTTTAAGGCTGAAGAGTTTAACAAAAAAAAATCAAAAGGAGGGCTATTCAATTTATAAAATACTTATCAATACGCCACAATGTTCCACTGCAAATAAATAAAGGAAAATTAAAAACCAAAATAGTAATGGCGAAATCGCCAACAAAATTTGATACATCTACGTTGACAAATGCCTTAAAACAGGTGTACTATATTCATAAAAATATTGTGGCAGGTTTGTTTGCAAATTTGTTATTTTATTTAAATTTAGTTTTATGTTTAGTTTGTTATTTTAAATTTATTGAATAGGGCCTATCCTATGACTATGACCTATATTGGATGTAAAAAGTATATTGTATATTAATTACTATTTTGAATATTGTATGTATAAAGTATAATATAATGTAACCCCATGACAGATTTTCATAATTAGTAAACTTATAAAAATGTTTATATAAAAGTTTATTTGTAAAAACTCAGAGTTCAGAGTAAAAGTAAAAGGTAGTGTAACATCTCTTTTTTCACAAATGTAATTATGCCAATACCATAATATAGGATTTAATTATATTGTCATCCACGTGTAAAATTATACACACCCTATTTCCTACCTGCGATTTGTATGTACCCAAGAAGGTTAATTATTTATCAAACTCATTCGTTTATTTTGAGACGTATCTTGTGCTGCCTGGGGCGAAATGAACATACTGTTACATACTCATATTTGTAAAAAGAGAATGTAACATCTATTTTTTCACAAATGTCATGAGTCATACCATACATAGGCTATGACATAGGATTTAATTATATTGTAATACACATAAAAATGTACACATCCTATTCCTACCTCTGGCCTCTGGTGTTTATTGGCCCAAGAAGTAGAAGTTTAATAATTATTTATCAAACTCATTCGTTTATTTTGAGACGTTTCTTGTGTTGCTTGGGGCAATATGACACCCCCCCCCCCAGATTTATATAAAACTACTTAAATCTTACACCCGGTTGTAGTCCCTTCCATACCGAAACTAATCTACTTTGCTCTTCTAATAATGTTTAATACTCTAATGGGCTGAGATTCAATCTCTTATAGCCCTGGCTATTATTGTGGCAGCTTGCCTCTTCTGGTGGGCATCGCCGTAAATCATATCTTCAAGGCAGGCCCTTGGGTCTCGACCCCCCTGCCCCTTCCCAGCATTGGGCCAGGCAACTACCAGATGAGCCACTGTCTCCTCTGCCTGGCCACAGAATCGGTAGTTTGGTTCCCTCCTGTTATCAAGTTTATGGAGGTAGCTGTGCGTTGCGCAATGACATGTCACTCTTGCTTGGTTGCAGCATTTTCCGGTACAGCTGTCGTCCAGTTTCTCCTGTGGCCGATTCGCTGAAAAACTTTTCACGAAAGTGGTCTTTCAACCAAGCAGTGACTCCCAGCTGAGTCATCGGCTTATCAGGTTGCGGCTGGGCCTCGCCTTTGGCCAAGAAGTTTGCCCTGTCATGCTGCATCACCTCAACGTGCGAAACAATAAACTGCAAGGTTACTTTGCCGCTTTTGGCTTTTATTCTACCCACTGTCTCCAGTATGGAATTTACCATCGTGGTCTCTGTAGAGACCCTTCCCACTTGCTTGCAAGCAGAGCGTGAGTCGGTGAAGACCACAGCGTCCGGATAGTTTTTTTTCTTTTTGCTAGGCGTTGGTGGACTCTCTTAAGAGCAACCAATATTGCCGCGATCTCCACATTGAGGCTTGATCTATTTTTCCCACTGGGTCCAGACAGCTCCTCGGTTGGGGCTATCTTTCTGGGATACTGGCTAAGAGCACCGTAGCCACTACGTTCTTCCCTTGCGAAACATGAGCCGTCTGTGAAGACTTTTACCAGGCTGTCTGGGTAAGCGGTAATCGTTTTTGCACTACCTCTAGTAATCAATTATATTTATTAATTTTACTTTTAAGACGGGGAAAATACATTATCGGTTTTGTAATATCCGGTTATTAAATCAAAGAAACCTAAGAGTTTTGGCTAACATAGACGATTCGCGTTATGACATCATTTGCGTGATTATTTAGAACAAATTAATTTTATTTTTATTTCGCAATATTAGCAATGCACTAAAAACTCACAAAAGCAACTGATGTTTGGGTTTTCCCGATAAAAGTGATTACGGTGTAAATCCTTGATCATAATTTTGTTATTTTATTTTTTATCATAACTTTCAAAGGCATTTTATATGCCTTAAGATAGTTCCTTAGTTTTTACTTTAAATGTATTTCTTATTTATAATAATAATACATAATTACTCAAATAAAAGCAGATATATAATATTTTTTGCCATTTAAATTTATTTGATATCCGTAAAATAATAGAAAATAACTATGATCGTTTTAAAGAATCCGAAAGTAGTTAAATCTTTTCGGTTCTTTGGCGTTATGGTCAGCCTAGCTCATTATTATATATATGCTTCAGTTTCATAGTCTCTTAATGTCAAAATCTGAAGAAAATGATTTCACTGGCCATTCAGATTCTTTTTTAAAGAAATAACTAGGTTTTTCTTCTCTTAACTTTTGTTCCAATTAGATAATCTTTCTTAAAATCTGCATGCCCTGACTTGTGGTGTCACTGCAGATTGCACTTTTCAATAACAGAAAGAGAAGTCTGGCATATCAAACACACTGGCTTTTCATTAAACAATGAAAACACAAATTCCACTTCCCACGAAGCTTTAAAAGTAGCAAGTCTCTTCTGTATCTTGTCATTTTGGCTTTTTCTTTTTAGAAATAAAAATGCTCTCAAGAATTGTTCTTATTGTCTCTCAGAATTTCTCCCTGACTGAATTGCGCTTACTGCAAACACATCTTTTATCCTGCTTTTGACTCATGGAATTGATCATACTCTGATCATTGAATACCAGGTACAAGTTTGATATTGTCTACAAATACATGGTGGACATACTGCCCCATCCTATTTCATTTCAACTTGTGTACATTTCCTTTCAGTCATTTGCGACATCTTTAGTGCCTCAGATCTCACCTTGTTAATTCCTGTCTTATTGTTATCATCCTATAAAGGCCAGTCAATTTAGCATGTGGTGTTCACATATCTAATTCATATGAACCAGTCCCCGTGGTGAGAATGGATATTTTTTCAATAACCAGCTAGCTACAATTCAAGTTTCCAAATTCACTATTCCCATTGCCTTTAATAATTAAACATGTACATTCCACCCCACCCCATTTGAGGCCAGTCAAAGCAGCAGAAAAGCTTAAAAATTAGTAACCAATTTCATGTCACCCCATGTTCCCACTACTTTGATCTGCTGAAGCGCTCAACATAAATTACTGTTACCTGTCAAGCATCCTTCTCCATTTTCCATAACACTTCTTTTTTCAAATGCCACCGCTTCTCCTGTGCTCTCAAAATATTTTCCAACAACACTGAATCAAGAAATGTTGCTTGATATTTTTCCATCTAAATCACCTGCTTATTATTTTATACAAATGATACAAATTTCCCAAGCTCTGCCGGGCCATTTAAAACCAGTCTGCAGGCTGCATGCGGCCCACGGGTTGGAAAAAACTACTACTCTAGTCCATCAACCCTATCTGGACTTAGCTTCCCTGGTCCTGTCTTTCTTTACCTGCAGTCTGCAAGCAAAAGAAGGGAGTCTGGATTTCAATACTGGTACAATGCTTTAAATTTTGTACATGAAAAACATATTTGATACAAACCCTTTTAGTAATTAACAGGGATAATTTTTTAATTTAAAAAAAAAATTAAAATTATAAAAATTCATTTATGACAGATCTTAATGCCAAACTAGATGTCCTGGCAGATGAAAATGGAAAACTTCAAGCTCAGAAGTCATCTGGAATGTAAGATCAAATCATATGGTTGAAATCAATATTGATCACTTTGTGAAGTTTGTGGCCGCTAAGTAAACAATACAGAGTCAAGTGTGATTTGTTTTGTTTCATTTATTATTGCATTGTATTAGGCATATGCGCCTGAATGCAAAATTTCAAAATCGTCTTAGATCTTGTAACCATCAAGTTATGATTGATTAAGCATGTTTTTAAGTTTGTGTGTTAAGTTGACCTGCACCTGAAAGTATTTCCTATAATTGCCAGGTCAGGAGAATGTTCATCTTGCCATCTTCTCAAAGATATGAACCAAAGGTTGCAAGAAACATTCAACGCTCTACTCAAGGATAAGGAAGCAGCCATCAAAAGCCTTAGTACAAAGTTTTTCACCTACTCAGCCTATTTATCCTCAATAAAACTTCAAAAATACCCATTTCAGTTTTAAAATTATTTATCCTAACGTCAAGTTCAATATGTTGTTAACCTATATCCAAAAATAAAGTTAAAAAAAAAAAAAAAATTACAAAATATTCACTGTTCTCATTTTCTTCAATTTAAGCTACATTTTTGAAGTTGGTGTTAATTTTCACCTCTATAATGCATAATGAACATATTATTGTAAAATTTATACAGCCGCCAAGCTTGGTAAAGTCTCAAAGGAAAATTCTGGGAAGGACTTAGACACATCAGAAAATTTGGAGAGCAGTGAACTACTTGAAAATAAATTAACAAGAAGAGAGGGGGAGTCACATGAAGCTCAAAGGGAAAAGAATGAAAATCACGGTGTTAACATCAATGATGAGAACAACGACACCAAAACGCATTCCAAACTCCAGCTGCTGAGACAGGGCAAGAGGTCCATACGTTACATTGAGGTAATATCAGATTGGCAAATATGATACCTTTTTAGCATGTGGTTAGAGAATTAAAAATAAAGTTGCAATAAAGTATTTGCTGCATTAAAAATGAGAACATCTTACATGCAGGTGGTAACAATACAAAAACTGTGAATTTCTTTGAGCTTACATCATATTTATCTTTAAAGAATTTGATCTAAACTCTCCCAGAGCATACTTGTTAATCCCCACAGAACACACTTGTAAATACCCCCCCACCCAACCAGAACATGCTGGTTAATCCTCTCAGAACATACTTGTTAATTATCTCAGAACATACTTATTAATCCTCCCAGTACATACTTGTTAATCCTCTCAGAACATACTTGTTAATCCTCCCAGAACATACTTGTTAATCCTCCCAGAACATACTTGTTAATCCTCTCAGAACATACTTGTTAATCCTCGCAGAACATACTTGTTAATCCTCGCAGAACATACTTGTTAATCCTCTCAGAACATACTTGTTAATCCTCCCAGATCATACTTGTTAACCGTCCCAGAACTTACTTGTTAATCCTCTCAGAAAATACTTGTTAATCCTCTCAGAACATACTTGTTAATCCTCCCAGAACATACTTGTTAACCCTCCCAGAACATACTTGTTAATCCTCCCAGAACATACTTGTTAATCCTCTCAGAACATACTGTGGTAATCCTTATCTAAATGCTCACAAAATAAACTTTGTTAACCCTGATTTAACTGCTTACCGAATTCAATTTGTTAATCTTGATCTTAATCATAATCACAAAGGCAACTTTTTTTTACTCCAGGAAGTCCCTAATCCCAAACGTATGAAGGTCTCACCTACTGACAACCCAGGAAGACTGACAGTCCACCACCACAGCAGTAACTTGGCTTCTGTCAAATGGGCTGCCATGTTGGTACCTGAAACTGAACCTGACGAATTACAGAAGAAACATGAGACCTCACGAAAACCTGACGATCTTGGTGAAATAGAGGTGCTTAGTGAACACATGCTGATTGTACCGGAAACGATCGGACTGGATTACACCATTAGGAGCGTTGAATGTGACAACAGTATAGTAGAGAACGAGAGAGATAATAACGGTCATGGGATCGCAAGGGCAGATTTTTTATCTGCTGCTAATGACAGTAAAATGTTGAGCAAAAAAGTAGTTTATTTGGAGGATTGTAGTTTAACAGATTCTCATTCAGATAGGACTGAAGAGAGCCAAGACCCATGCACTCAAATCACTAACAGGAAATTGATGAGTAAAGGCAGCCCTGCTGTGGTGAAGACTATGAAAGGGATTGGTGTAGAAAAAGAAAATGGAAAGCCTCCTGATGGGTTTTTCAAGGAAAGAAATCAAAGCGGCGCTGGCAGTACTTCTAGAAATAGTTTGGAAATACACGACGCCGTCAAAGATGTAACAAATTCAAATAAAATCGATCCCAACGGGCAGGCATCAAGAAAACCAACCGAAGACAAAGGAAGAATAAGAAAAATATCCGATAAGAGTGCAGAGCGGAGCATGGGGGAGCCGGTCTCAATCGGCACAGAAATGAATCAACAGGTACCAAGGGGAGACAAGTTATCAGACACAAAGAAAAAGTCACAGTTATGCAGATCTGAACAACAGCAGCAGGCTTCTAAGAACTCAGGGCCTAAATTCCTTCAGCCTACCTCACCAAACTCTTTAAGCTCAGCAGCTCCCAAAGTAAGCCCCAAGGGTACTGTTCACCTGGGTGAAAGTAAACACTATAACCCAAGTGTCAAATTGAGAGGAAGCATTGACCAAAACTCTGTTGTTGTTCATAAGCAAGGGGCTCCACCTTCACCCTCAAACTTCTTAAATGATTCAGATTTGAAAGATGAGACCAAGACGAGAATTGTGGAGAAAATCATAGAAGTTAATTTAGATCCCAATGGCAGTATGAACCCTGATGTGAATTTGTCTGAAATCTTGGCATCACAGGTGAGGTTTTCTTAGTTAGCACTTTAATGGTTCATCCATTTGATACATAAAGAATAAGATATACAATTCTTAAAGAACCCTATTGTAATACCCAACTGTTGCATCCCATATAGTTTTGGGCACCACTTCCCCTCCCCCCTCAAAAAACATATCAAGTAGATTTTTACTATGCAAGACAAGAGACACACTTGCCACCATTTCTTTTGTAGTCTATCGTACACGACATCATCAAATATCTCTGTGGATACACAAAAAATGGATTATAAAGGAATCATGCCCTAGTTTTTTTTTTACATTTCTTTATGCACCAAGATAATAAGGGAATTATCTAAATCAGGGGTCGGGAACCCATGGCTCGTGAGCCAGATGTGGCTGTATTGATGGCTGCATCTGGCTCACAGACAAATGTTCCATTATAAAAAAAGAGTCCCATTAATGGTAAGAAATACTCATTAATGATTAGCAACAGCATAACAATGTTATTAAAAAGAATTCAGAGACATAATTATTGCATTTTTAGTTTCGAAATTACACAAAATGCAAACATTTATTTGAATTTTTAGTTTTAAAAATAATGTATGGCTCTCACAGAATTACTTTTCAAAATTTGTGGTGTCCATGGCTCTCTCAGACAAAAAGGTTCCCGACCCCTGATCTGAATGCATACATTCGTTTATATTTGGAAAAAAAAATGTAAAGACAAATACAAAATACTGCTTTGCTTCTTTATAATCTTTTTTATATTCTTCTTTTTTTTTTTTTCTAATGCCTTTGTTTGGACAGACTTCAGCAAAGGCTGTCAGGGGAAGACAGCATTCACAGAGCAGCAACAAAGTGATGAATGCCTTTGATGAAAAAATTGCACCCATTTCAAAAAAAATGTAAAGACAAATACAAAATACTGCTTTGCTTCTTTATAATCTTTTTTATATTCTTCTTTTTTTTTTTTTTCTAATGCCTTTGTTTGGACAGACTTCAGCAAAGGCTGTCAGGGGCAGACAGCATTCACAGAGCAGCAACAAAGTGATGAATGCCTTTGATGAAACAATTGCACCCAGTTCACTGTTGCAGCATGAAGGGATGAATGCCTTTGATGAAACAATTGCACCCAGTTCACTGTTGCAGCATGACGAGACGTGGCGCCCCGATGTAACTTCACCAGCCAAATCCTCACAGCAGTTCAGTTCAACTTTAGATGAGGGCACGTTGAAGGCAACTCAAGGTTCATCAACACTTCATAACCACAAGAGATCTTTGGAGAGCACATCTCCCAAGAATAGGAACTCAACACTCAAAAGTTTGGTCCCTGGGGGAAGAGTTAAGTCTGATATACCTACAGAAAAGGGTAAACTACACGTGACTAACCCACAGAAAAAGTTATCTTCATATAGCTCTTCTGGCATGTATGATAAGGTTAATTGCAATGTTCAAGAAACAGATGATGATGATGACGATGAGAGCATTGCACCCAGCCCTCAAGCACACTTTCAGGTAAATCATCAACAAAACATCTAAATAATTTATCACCATAATTTTCAAATAGTTATGAACAATTTAGATAATCAAATTACTTCAATTTTTTTTAGTTTCTATTACCCTTTTAAAACAAATTATGCACATATGCAAATGAAGGTGTGGCATCAAGGATTACCAAGTGTAATGTTTTCCAGGCTGGCTCACAGTTACATTGCAGTATTCCATCCAGTTCACGCAGCTTTAAGTTTTCCCACAAGCCAAATAAGTTTCAAGTCAGATCAGATTCAACCACTGCTGGTGAGGTCTTATGGAATGTTATTTAAATTTTATTTATATTTCTTACTATTCTTCATCCTGTAATTGTTGTTTGTCCGTCAAGATCAACTAGGACCATCTAGTCATTTGGTTGGGTGGGGTGCGGGGTGTCACGTTGAGTCTTCTTTGTGTTGATTGTGAGGCCAAAGTTGTTGCAGGCCTCCTGTAATTACTGTAAGACTAGCAAGCAGTCATCATGTTGTGGTTTCAGACAGAATGAAATATATATTCTCATTTGGTTTCTGTAGGGTATGACATATATATTTTCCTCTTGGAATATAACATATCTATTTAATACAGAAAAAAAATAATTAGCTTACATGGTAGAGAACTGCAGGGACTAATGGAAAGTGAAAGGGAGACAACCTAATGTCAGACCCACCACTAACAACCTAATGGGTGTATATGATTAGAAGAAAACATAAATTTGTCATTTTAGATGTTATATTGTTTTAAAGAGAGGAAAGCTTTCCTATAAGAACTGTAGATATTAATTAATAATTATCTACCCTCTTAGGATTTGTTTGATCCCCATCTAGTTTGGTTTGATCTTTGAACAGGCTTTTTACCTCCCATTATTTTTCTTAAATAACTCAAGTAACTGATTATTTTTTCCAAAGTAAAATTGCAAAAGGACCTCACCAACAAGAATGCCACTAATCCCAGCAGTGTGAGCGTTCGTTTGGTCGGGGACGAAGGTGAATCTTTGGACCTTCAAGCAGCTTTAGAGGAAATAGACAGGAGTCAAACCTTACATGAGGAAAACTTAGAACAGTCAATAACCGAGGTGACGTCTCCACAGAAAAGTTCCAAGCAGTACTCTCCTGTGCAATCTTTCGAGGACAGCTTTGATAGGTTGGTTCAGTTTGTTATAACTTGAAATGTAAACATTTCGTCTGTTTTAAGGTGTAATGATATAAAATTGTTAGAGTGCAATAAAGCTGTTAAAGCAATTTTTGTAAACAAAACAACATATGCTAAGCTTTAATTATGGTTACACACAATACAAAAATAAATTTTTGAAGTCTAGTGTGGTTTGTTTTATTCAATATATGTATGTATATAAATATATATATATTACATATTGGAAAATAGTAGTAAAATTAAAGATCCCACACATTTAAAGAAATATATATAACAACATCATAATTGTTTTTTATTTCTACAAACAACAATTTAACTCATGCAGTTTTGTTCATGATTTTTTAAAAATTTATTGAAACAATTCTAGGGTCCCAAAGAACAAGGAAGTTGAGTTTCCCCACGTTGAAGTTGTGAGGAAGAAAAGTGAGAGGGAGAAACTAGAGGGATTCAGCTGCAGGGAGTGTTATGAGGTAAAAGTGGTCCACAACTTGCTGATGATGGGCAGAGTGCAGCAATGGTTTGTGAAAGAGGGTAGTACAATGACTGGCTATTGGTATGATGGGGATAGAACAGGAATGGTTTATAGTTGATGCAGAAATCCGTTTCCATTTTTATACCTTATCTTACAGCATGGATGATACATTTCCTTTCACAGACAGGGGCATTGATGTGAATCTAATAAAAAATTATAGAAAGCTTGGGATGTAGAAGAAGGCTCTTCGTCCTTGTCAGATATTAATTTTTCTCTTTTCAATCTTAAACATTTTTGTGACTTAAATTTACAAAAATAAATATTTCAAAATCCCTCTTAAAAGAAAGAAAAAAACTCAGCATCCATTGATGGAGTACCGGTATGCCAAAAACACTACCATGTTTGGCACCTGGTTATGTAGCATGTTTAATCCATTTTTGGTTCACAGTGTTATTTTTAATTTGCTCAGACTGAATACTCTTATTAATTTCTTGAACCTGCTAAATAACTGTCTTGGTGCACAACACAGTCCATTCCATTTGTATCAATAACTATTTCTTATTCTTGACATTTCAGTATTACAAAACATCTGGCCTGTCTGAAGAGGAGATGAAGCAGAGGATGAACCAATGTTCCAGGCACAGACATAAATTTGTGGCGCCTGCCACCCCAGAGCATTTCTGGTCTCTAGGTTTCCCTGACACAGCCGAAATTATGGAAAGAAGCAGTGAGTCTTTAATGGCCAGTACCACTCAATGGGTTTATTTACTACCCATGTAGACATTGTTTAATCAAGTCTTTACTTAATTCTTGAAACAGACAAAAAACATAAATTTTAGTCTCTGTTTAAATTTATTGTGTAAAAGTAGTACTAGCACTAAAGAAAGTGATTTAAAAAAAATGAAAAAAAAATAATTAAAATACATTTTTTAAACCTTTTTTTTTTTTTTTATTAAAATAACATTTAATTCAGAAAAAAAGAAATCTGAAGAGAATGCAAGGAGTATTTAATGCATCAAAAATTGATCATAACATGGTTACATTCAGCAGTGAGAAGTTCACTAGTGTAAAAGTAGTACTAGCACTAAAGAAAGTGATTTAAAAAAAATGAAAAAAAAATAATTAAAATACATTTTTTAAACCTTTTTTTTTTTTTTTATTAAACTAACATTTAATTCAGAAACAAAGAAATCTGAAGAGAATGCAAGGAGTATTTAATGCATCAACAATTGATCATAACATGGTTACATTCAGCAGTGAGAAGTTCACTGGCTAAGACAAATGCATGTTTGACTTGTGCCAGTAAAGCTACAACATGCGCCACATAATCAAATCTCTCTGTAAACTGAGACATGCTTGTAAGCTACTGAACCCAAAGAATTAATTACTGACACCTGAGAAACAAGATCATAATATTGTTGATCAAAGTTGATTTGATGATATATATACCATTTCACACATGACAAAATACTAACCTGAAATGTGAAACAAGTCAGACAAAGACATGCTACACATAAGACATATTGTAGATGAGACAATGACATGCTACACACCAGACAGTAACATACTACACATCAAACAGCCCATGCTACTATTCCTGCAAACCAGAAAATGACATGCTACACACTAGACAATGACATGTTACACATGAAACATGTTGTAAAGGGAGTTATGATTTTTGTTGCCAATTATTAGTTATAATTATTAACTGAATAGTCCAAGAGATGTGAACATTCCAATAATATATCCCCCCCACACCCCCTTTCCCATCTCTCATCCAGCTTTATCCAAGATGGACAATGAAACTCCAGCACCGGCTGAGAAGGGACCAAGAAGACGTAGGCGCCTGGAGAAAAAATTCTAATTCACCAATGCCTGTGGAATGCTTACAATCCTGAAATATTAAATTGCAACACTAACTGAATCACATGGCTGTAGTGTTTTTAAAAAAAAATGTGTTGCAGCATTGAGGTTACAGCACAAATAAAATCTCATTATGTTACCTGTGTAACTTTGTAAAAATACATTGTGGTGCAGCATGGAAGTTAAAACACTGATCATCTCACACTTGAGCCAACATGACTATAAGAAGTACTTGAGTTGATTTCATCTTGTCATAAAAACCATTATTATGATCAAGACCTCCCAAATACAAAATAAAAGAGGGTTGCTTACATTGTCATTAGGTACTAAAGGTATTAAATTGTGGGGTTTTTTTTTCATATGTATATCATATTTTGTGCAATGTCATTTCAGGTCTGATATGCATAAAATATTGCCAGGGTTCTGGACATGCTGACTTAGACTGTGTCAGTCTTGACATGTTCACTTAGTCTGTATCAGTCTTGGATCTTTTAATGCATTTTTAAATACCAGTTATGATTTCATGTAGTGGGTGTAATTCCCTGGCTCAGCAAACATCCCAAACATTTTCCACAAACCTTCTCCTATCAAAAAAATCACAATGCACACCTACCTTTGAAATTCATTTCAATTAATTTTTATTACTGTAATTTACACTAAATGAGTTTTGGATAATATTAAAGAACATAGTGTAAATAGTACGGTATATGGTGATTTTTTAAAAGATATTTCAATGAAATGTCATTATTTACAAAATTTAAAAAAATTTATGTGATTTTTAGGGGAAGAGTAATCAACATCCCTTTCAAAAAACACTAATTTTTTATTTTTAAATTAATTACCCCGATTCGAATTTTTTTTATACAAATGATTTTCTCAAATAAATTTACCATGGCAAATGCCTGTACTGTTACTTTACTGCAATGCTTTTCTGTAAACTATTGTTTGCAATTAATGGCTCAAAATTTCACTGAAATTTTTGTATTTAAAAAAAAAAAAAAACCCTTCTGATCTTAACGTTGATCAGTTTTCATTGAGTATGACATTCTTATCACACAAGAACATGTCATAAATTCCTTTATATCATAACTCAAACTTGTTGAGTTTTTTCACTTTAGAATTTTTTTATAAATATATCATTTTAAATAGTATACCTAATGTTGATTGTTTCTTTTACTTGTAGAGATTCATTTTGAGTGATGAGGCCATAATTTAAATAAGTGAAAGTTTTAATGAAATGTTTTTTTTATCAGTTGACCTTTTTAATAAAATTTAATTTTTATTCAAAAAATGATTTTGTTTTTAATCTTTAATGAGAGAATAGAACAAGGATAGAACATTTTCTTAAAGTTAAAATGTTTTTGGTAACAAAAAAATTAATGTTTCTATTGACATTTTAATGGCTTAAATTCTTTGTGAATTCAGTTTTGTTTGTACTCCCAAAGTGTGAACACGCCCTACGAAGGGGGTGGGGGGAGCAAGTACTGGGCCAAAGATGGGAGCAGGCACTACCAAAGAGGGGGAGGAGGAAGCAGATATCTGCCAAAAAGTGGGATGGAGAGCAGTCCTTACTGGAGAGGTGCAGGTATCCAACCAAAAAAAAAAAGGGGAGGGAGAATTCAGCACTTCTTTCAGAAAATTTGATCAAGGATAAATTTAATTATTTTTGTGGGGGGATGGGGACATGACATCTATCAGCGAAATAAATAAACTTTATGCTACACATCGCCTTAAATCACTCCGGTTGTGGCGTGCCCCTAGATATTATTTTGGCTCCAGGTTAGTTTCTACCCCATACTGTCACATTCATCAGCCTGGAGGAGGGTGAAAAGCAGAATCTGAGAGCATTGTGAAAGAGGCCAGGTGAGGGGTTTCATTGAGTACTTCCTCAGATTAAGCTTACCAGATTTTTTGGATGCCAAATACGGACACAAAGGCTCACAGGAACGAGAGGCACATCATCGGGTGTGTGTGGGATTTTAAAAACCCCAATAAAAGTAAAAGATGGTTTGCATGACCTTCTGTACATCGTTTTGTTACAAACTATTGCAATATATGTATATATATATTTCTTTCTTCTTGTGTGTCCTGTTTCCTTTTCGAAACCCCCCTCCCCCAACTCAACATGTTTTTTTTTTTTAAATTAATAGTACTAAGTGGGAAAAAAGTATGTCAGGCGTGACGTGTGAACTCGGGTAAAAAAATATTCTTTAGGTGACTATTAAAATATTCGATAAAGAGCCATAAAAACATATTGAAAATGTTTGGTTAGTTATCAAGAACACATTCAAAATATCATGATGCATTGTAATCGTCGTCGTATGGTTTTGAGTAAAGACCATACTCTTCCCCGCAATGTCAATCTTTAACTTTAAAGGATGTTACAAACATTAATAAAACAAAAATAACCATAGGCCTATAATAAATATGTGATAAACATCAGAAGTGGCAATATTTTAATGGTTTTCTAGCATTTCAGTAATTTAACAGGTCAAAGGTACCATTTACACTAATGTATAAATTTGTTTGGTGCTTAAACATAATTATATTTTCGCTTAATTTTTAACTAATTTTCTCCAGGAGTGGAGCGTGAGGGGGGGGGGTGGGGGTGTTTATGAAATAACTCTGTTTGCAAACAATGAGTAAACAAAAATATCAATATATGTAACATGTAGAGGCACATCTCAAGTAATCGGTACCAGCCTATTTTTTTACAGGGTAATAAGGGGAGAGACTGCAATCAGGTTAGCACAATATAAAAATGGTTAAAACAAAGTAGGGTTAAACCTGAAAAAAATGGAACGCAACAAAACGACGAACGTGTCGGCAGGAAGCCTTCGTCAGCGAACAAAACAACAGAAAAAACAGTATAAAAAAAAAAAAAACACTTACCTTAGAGGTAGTATCTGTGGGCAGCAAATATTCTTGCACAATTCTTTTGCTGCCCACGGATACTACCTCTAAGCTAAGTGTTATTTTGTTTAATTTTTATTCTGTTTTTAATGACAACTCAGTAGATTTTAATGTAAAGAAAAACATTTCTCTTTATAATTTATTGTTGTACACATTTTCCCCAGGAGAGACGCCTGGAAAAAATACAACAACAAAAAAAAAAAAAAAACACTAGTGGAGTGACCCTTGGCCCTGGCAGCAGTGAGGGGATCAAGATTGTATTACGTTCTGTGTGGTTCTTGACTTTTCGTCCCATTTTGGGCTACCCACGCCTAGGAAATCCACAGAATAGCCTACACATAAAACATAAGCAGTATACAACATTGGGGGGGGTAGGGGGCGCTGGGTGTCACCCCTCCCCTGATTTACTATCTAACATTGATGGGGGGGGGGGGTGGAATGCAAATTCAACCCAACTAAAAATGAACTCTAGGACCGCCTTGGCCTTGGTGGGGCTAGTCCTCGCTACACCAATAACATCACCCCCCCCCCATAACATTGATGGGGGGGGGGGTGGAATGCAAATTCAACCCAACTAAAAATGAACTCTAGGACCGCCTTGGCCTTGGTGGGGCTAGTCCTAGCTACACCAATGACATCACCCCCCCCCCACACACACACACACAAACAAACTAAAAATAAATATAAATCATTACTTATTAAATCAAAAGTTTCAGCACCACTTGTATTCTAGTATAGAGTTTAAAACAAACAAGAACTAATTACTTGCATTTTGCTGCGTTACTTATAATTTATATAATACTAGATATAGCCCGCCAAACATTGACGGTAGCAATGCGTGCACTTCCCATCTACTAAAGTTACTTGGCTATACATGTACTCAGGTAACGCACATTTTATAATCCCAATTTCCCTCCATGATAAGTCACTGCACACT